GGTTCATCCTAGTGACTGACCATGAACTGCGCTGTGATGTTAAGGTTGACGTGATAACCAGCATTGAAATTGTATCTCGAACCCGGGAACTCTATGTAGATGATTCACCACTAGAGCTGATGGTGAGGGCGTTGGATGCTGAAGGTAATACCTTTCAAAGGCATTTCAACAAAGTTATCTAAAATGAAAGCATGCGATACTCCCTTTGTGTATAATGCTTGATAATAGGAATTTAAGTGAGAGAAAATTAGATTAGAAATAATGTTTCTTTTCTCAGATGGAGCTCATAAAGATGAGGAATCAGTAATTCTGAGTGTAGTTCAATATGTGGCTAGACACACTTTTATAAAATATTTCCTGGGGAAAAAATTCCTGGGATAGTGTTGGTCACCTCAGAGCTTTTCCTAAATACCCATATTCTGCCACTGAGCTTCTGATGAACATTTCTTCTCTAATTTATTGCTTGCTCAGTTTTGATCAGTCCTCTCAAATTCAATGTACCCCTGTGGGAAAGTGTTATAATTTTGAGTGAATGTTTCTTGAGACTGCTTTTAGAATGCTTTAGCATACTATTCTAACGATGCAACATGCTACTCAAATATTTCAACGTATTGCCTCTTTCTGTGTAGGCTATTCAGTAAAGAGTTATTTTTTAATCTGAAAAGTGAATCTATTAGACTCTTCAGGAAGCCAGTGTTTAAATGACTTATGTTAGAGGGACCAGGATTAAAGATGCCCATCAACCATAAAGTGGGCTGTAAGGTGGACTACTTTCTGTAGACAGGAACAGACGGCGTGGTAGAATTCCTGTCAATCAAAAATTAATCGGCCTGATACAAATTCCAAAATAAAACTTATATTTAAAGAAAGAAAATATTTAATGGGCTGGAGTCTTTTTTCCTCCAGAATGTTTGTGCGGTAGCAGCACTTACATTCTCTCCATAGGGATCGCCCTGAAGGACGTGCTTTGATGGACTACGAATAGTGCGTTTATTTTCCGCCGAAAGAGACCCGAGTATAATTTTCTGTTAGTTAGGTTTTCCTTTCTTATTAAAGATAGCTGAGTATTCTAAAATATGTCATTCCGCCTTGTCTGCTCATTCCGCCTTGTCTGCTTTTGGCTTGCTCTACAGGAAACACGTTTAGTAGTTTGGCGGGGATGATGTTTGAGTGGAACGTTGCCAAGGATAACGAGTCAGCAAGAGGAGAGCTATCTAGCAAAATTAGGTAACCTTGTGACCAAACCATCTGATTTTGAGGAGCTGCCTGCCATTGGGGGGCCTGCTGAACAGCAGCCATTAGTGTGGCCTTTGCGTCTGGACTTTTTTTGCCCTAGATCAATAAACCAGGGGACATATCCGTGACAGAATGACTATGGCATGGGTGTGAGATGCTTTCTGATGACGTGGGCTGCAGTGGAGGAGTTCATGCGCTCAGGACTGCACAGTTCTGTGCGCCAGGTCTGTCTTCTGGCAGCTTGGTTGCTGGTGCTATGTCCACACAGAGAAACAGAGTGAGAATGATATTTGTATGCAATTTTGCCTTTAGTATCAAAAACTAGCTGTCTCAGGTGCCCTGGTGGTGCAGTGGGTTAAATGTTAGGCTGCTAAGCACAAGGTGAGCAGTTCAAAACTATCAGACGCCCATTAAAAAACTAGCTCTCTCATAACAAATTTAAGCTCTAGAGGCGCATTCCTTTTCCTAGAGGTCGTATGGAAAAAAGGAATTTTTAAAATAGTTTACATTCTGTGGGCACTGAGCAGAGTGTGTTTAAAATCTCTTAGGGTACGGATGAAAGCAGGGACCCCTGACGGGTACCTGTACACCAGTGTGTATCACAGCATGGCTCAGCATGGCTCAAAGGCGTCACCAACTCAAGTGTCTGTCAGTGGAGGAATGGATACACAAAAGATGCTTATCCATAGATACGTACAGTGCATTTTTATTTCACCCTGCAGACAAATGAAATTTTGATACATGCTATGACATGGGTGATCCTGAAAACACTGTGCTGAGTAAAATAAGATACAAAAAGACAGTAAGTCTACTTACATGAAATATCTAGAGTAGACCAAAGCAAAGGGAGCAGAGGGGGAAATTGCTGATGAATTGATTAAGCGTGATGAAAAATTTTTGAAATGCATAGTCGTAATAGCTATGCAATGTTCATGTAATTAATGTCATTGAATTGTATATTAAAAATGACTGAAATGGCAAATGTTCTGTTATATACGAGGGGGCTTCAAAAAGTTC